TGGCCGTCTTTATTTTGCTTGATCATTGTTGGTTTGAAATTGAGACTGTCTGAGAATAGGATTGCTACCCCTGCTTTTTTCTGAGGTGCTGGGGCATGTAATATTGTGTTCCATCCTTTGACTTTCAGCCTATGAATGTCTTTATGAGTTAAATGTGTTTCTTTTATATAGCATATTGTTGGATTTTATTTCCTAATCCACTGTGTCTATTTCTCTTAATTGGTGAATTGAGTCCATTTACATTGATGGTTATATATGAGATGTATTGACTTACAATTGATATGTTATTAATCTGTTGCTTACTCCTTTTTCTCCTGTGTTTAATTGCTTGCCCTATTTAGGTGGTTGCTACTGATCTCATTCGTGGAGTTCTGATTATTTTGGTCCCTCTCTAAAACATCTTTCAGTAGCCTGTGTAGGGTTGGCTTTGTCATCATGAAATTCTTTAGTTGTTCTTTGTCATGAAAGTATTTCACTTCTCCATCATACTTGAAAGAGAGTTTTGCAGGGTATAGTAGTCTGGGCTGGACTTTGTTTTCATAGAGGACTTGAAGTACTCTGATCCATGCTCTTACTGCCTTCATGTTTTGTGAAGAGAAGTAGACCATAATTCTGATGGGTTTTCCTTTGAATGTGATCTGCTTCTTCTCTCTGGTGGCTTTCGGTTTATTATTTTATGCTGGATTTCTGGGATCTTGACTATTATTTGTCTCATTGTGTTTTTAATTGGGTTGAGGTTACTTGGCGTTCTGTATGCTTTGTTTACCTGAATGTCAGATTGTTTCCTCATATTTGGGAAGTTTTCTGCTATTACTTTTGCCCATATTTTTTATTGTCATTTTATTGACTTCTTCTTTCTCATTGATGCCTATTATTCTCACATTGTTCATCCTTGCATCATCTTGCAGGTGATGGATTATTTTTTCCAGCATCCTAGTTGTTTATAAGAGATTCTTTCTTACCTTGTCACTAGCTGCACCAGCGTCTTCAAGATCTGAAACTGTCTTCACTTTCACTTAAATGGTTTTGCAAGCTTGTGATTGAGATTTTGAATTCCTCTATATCTCTTTGACTCTACTTCATGCGATCAATTTCTTTCCTGTATTGCTAATTCAAGGAATCTGTCATTTTTCTAATCTCCTCTTTTTTTTTATCAATGTCTTCTTTAGAAGCAGTTAGAAATTCTTTTACTGCAGTGTTTTTTCAGATTGAGTTTCCTCCCTATGTTTCTGTAGTTGATTCTTTACTTCAGATGCTACGAGTTCTGAGAATTCTTTTTTTATTTCAGAAAAGAATTCCACTCTGATTTCTTCTATAACTTTTTGATGTTGCTTATTTACTATTGATGCTATTAATTCTTACATTTGAGCTGAGCTAGTAGAAAATAATTCCCCTCTGAGTTCCTCTATGACTTTCTGCTGTTGCTTATTTACTACCGATGCTATTGATTCATACATTTGAGCTGAGCTAGTGTCCTCTGCACTTGTTCTGGGTGGACATTGGGTTTCCTCCATATGTTTCTGCATTTGATTCTTTACTGCAGATGTTATTAATTCAGGGATTTCTTTTTTCATTTCCAATCTGAGTTCCTCTATACCTTTCTGCAGCTGTTTCTTTATTTCAGAAGCCATTGATTCATTGCTTTCAGCTCTGTGATTCCCAATTTTTCTGTTTGTGTCCTCTGCACTTGTTATGGGTGAGCTTGGGTTCTGAGATTGCATTTGGTCCTTCTTGTCATTTTGTGTAGCACTGTCTTCTGACCTTTGTTGAAGATCTTTGTTGCAGTTATAACCTTAGCACCTACTGAAGTTCGGGCGCGTATCTACAAAGTTTGGATTTATCCAGCTGTGCCTGGCTTGGGTCTGGCTGCTATGCTCAGCTCCTTCCTGCTGCTGCCCTTGGGGGTTAATCTGTTGTGCCCCTCTGGCAAGATGTTCTGCTCCTGGACTAGCTGGGTGGTTCTGTCCTGTACACTCTCTATAGTGATTGCAGCTTCAGGGTTTTACCCCAGGCCTGTATGCCAGGCCTGAGCTGAGTCTAGAGAGGGCAAGGCGGAGTAGGGGGGAGAGGCAGCTCTCCCACACACTCACTTGGCCTTGGCTAGGACTGGATCTGGGGGTTCCAGGAATATGACAGAAATTCCTACTCGGTGGTTGGTGTGGGGGAGTTACTACAGAGTGGTGGGTGGTATCCCAAGGGGGTGAAAGAGGGTCTCACCCACACTGTGCCTGGGCTGGGACTGGTAGGTCCCACTGGCGTAGGGTAGCCGGAAGCTCTCCCACACATTCATTGGGCCTGGGCTAGGACTAATCTGAGTGTTCCAGAACGCAGCAGAAATTCCTCGGGGTGGGTAGATGCTGTGGAGTGGTGGGGGTCATCCCAATGGGGTGGAAGAGGGTCTCACCCATGCTGCTCCTGGGCTGGGACCAGTAGGTCCCTCTGGTGCAGGGTAGCCAGAAGCTCTCCCACACACTCACTGGGCCTGGGCTAGGACTGGATCTCTGGAACAGGTATTTTCCTTAGAGTACTGATATGTTAAACGTAGAGTATTGATATGTTAAACTAAAGAATGTTAAGAAAAAATTTTAAAAATGTTTTTAAAAATAGGAATAAACAATTACATATTTTTACACAGAAATTTAGAAATCTAACCATATACAGCATTGTAGCAGGACAGTCCTATGACTTTTTTTTCTTGTCTCTTGTTTTCATTTATTACCCTCTTTTTTTAAACAAATATTTACTTGAAAGACAATATAGCAGTAATTGGTATGACATGACAAGCAGTACGTATTTAGAAGAACAAAATGGCAGGCATTCCAGGCATGACCCTAGTATTACACATTGCTATCTTCAGTGCAGTTGCTTAGTTCACAGGTTTCATATGAGATTCTGAAATCCAAAATGCTTCAAAATCCAAAATATTTTGTGTATCATCATGATGCCATAAATGGAAAAACCCATTTCTGACCTCATGTGATCAGTCATAGTCAGAATACAGATACACTAGGATTTTGTATTGAATCACCTTCAGGCCACCACACAAGGTGTAGTTTAGAATTGCGTCCCATCTCCAGGAAGGTTCATTTGTATATACAAATATTCAAAAATCTGAAACCATCCAAAATACTAAGCACTCTTGGCCCCAAACATTTTGGATGAGGGATGCTTAATGTGTAATGGCATACATTTTTTAAAAAATAGCACAACTATATTTATTTAGAAAATACTCTAATCTCTTCCCTCATTCCTTAAACTGGTAATTTACCCTATTAAGGAGTAAATGTCTTGTTACCTTGAGAGCTAGCAGGGTTCCCAGTTAGGTTCTTGCCTCCATGCTCTGCCACTGCCCCCTTGCTATAGTCACAGGGTGGCTAATGGGACCAGCAAGTAGGCAGTGTTTCTCCAGCATCTTCCTGTCATGAGCCCCAAGGTCTGGCATCCATGATCAACTCCTGCTTCCTTGGACATAAGGAGGGTGCTAGCACTGTCACATGCTTGAGGCCGCCTTTCCTGAATGTTGCCCCTGTCTCTTCTGCAGGCTGTAAAGCGGTTCTTGAAGCAGGAGTGCAAGTGTCACGGTGTGAGCGGCTCATGTACCCTGAGGACATGTTGGCTGGCCATGGCCGACTTCAGAAAAACGGGTGATTATCTCTGGAGGAAGTACAATGGGGCCATCCAAGTGGTCATGAACCAGGATGGCACTGGTTTCACTGTGGCTAATAAGAGGTTTAAGAAACCAACGAAAAATGACCTTGTGTATTTTGAGAATTCTCCAGACTACTGTATCAGGGACCGAGAGGCAGGTAAGTTAAAAAAAAAAAAGAAAAAAAAAAAAAGAAAAACTTTTCAATAATCAGTATTGTGTGATTTGAATGAAGTTCTGTATTTTCAGCCTATCATTTCTGTAAGAGCTACCTGCTGCCTTCAGGTCGGAAGGTACTATCTTACATAAATCCTGTTGAAACTACATAGAAGGCTCTCCTAAGCGCCGGACAAAGCAGCTTGCTAATGTGCAAATTCTAGAAAAGAAACACACCAAGAATGTGCATGGCAAACAGTCAAAGTATGTCAGCAGGATCCTTCCACTAGAGCAGAGTTCTGGCTGGTGGGCTGGTGGGCACTGTGCGCGCATCTTTTGGGGATCCTGAAGCTGAAGGATGGCTTCGGATGGCATCTTCCCTTTTACAGCCCCCATGACTCAGGAGGAAGTGCACCGGAGCTTTAAATTTAGCCTCCTATGCCCTGCTGCACATGCCCTCACACTTTGCAATATGCTTAGAAATTGGCACACACTAAAAACCAAAACTTTATTTCACTCTTCTTGGCCACAGGTGGGCATGGACATGGGTTGTGTAAGAGACACCTCATTTGTTAAGACCACAAGTGGCACTTTCTCCATCCTGTACTAACTCAAAAGAGCCACTGTCTCAGGCTCAGCTCAGCAGCTGTTCCCACCTGCCTGATCGCATACCTGTGCTTTCTCTACCTCTTACCCTTCCCCATCCACTCTGAACTCAGGCTTAGCACTTTCTTTGCAAAAGCTCTGGTGCAAAGCAAAAATGAGTTAAAAGTCTAAGTCAACAGGAGGTGGTACCAGCCCAAAGCTCACTTTGACTCAGGCCGATTTCTTGGTAGAAAGCAAGGCAATCCACTGTCAAAAAACCCCTCTGATTTAAATGTGGTGTTTGTTTTTTCATTCAGAAATTGGTGCAAAGGAACCAGTGAAATAGTGCAGATAGCAGGCAGATTCTAATTTTAGACTGGCCAAGAGGTGAAATAATCAAACAGCATCACAAGGAGGCCCAAGCTCGTTTTGGCCTTTCTTGAGTGCTTGAATTTCCTTCAGGTTCATGGAGCCAGCTCTTGGCAGCACGGTACAGGTTTCTGCATGCAGCCAGTGGATTAATCACTGCTGAACCCATGTACCAGCCCCTGCGCCCCCTGCGTTCCTGATGTGTTCTGGGGTCACCCACAAGTTATCCTACCTGTCAGGCCCAAGTTTTGATCAAATCACTAAGAAACCTGTGCTTTGCTATGAAATTGCCCTTGGGATTGGGCTTTAAGTGAGAGTTTGCTCTCAGACTTCTCAGACAGAGCATGACGATGAGGACACTGTAGTCACTCTCAGTCCTGTAAGCTGGCTGTGGTAGGCTAAGGTTGCTGCCCACGTGACCTTATGAATGCATGGAGCAGCCCCATGATATCCATGTGCTGGAGCTCATTATTGCAACAGTAAACAACAGTAAATGATCAAGAGAAAGATGTACCTAGATGATCAGCACCAACCAAGGGCAAAATTCATATCTTAGCAAGGGCTGTTTACTGACAACAAAACTATCATCATGACCACTGGACGGGTGAACAAAGGGAGTGACTTGCTCATGGTCTTGTGGGTAGGAGGGCTCAGATGCCTGGCCTACACATTTTCCCTACCTATATCGCAGATGTGGGGGAGAAAAGACCTTGTGGAGGAGAAAAGACTTTGTGAAGCAGAACCTTATTTTAAATATCAGAGGACCTGATCCCAGCACATCTTTCTCATCCTTTGAAGAAGCAACAGCTATAGCTAACCAATATTTACTGCCTCTGGAGTACTCAGTAAAGTAAAAGACCATATTTTCTCTTTCCCACAGAGGAATCCAAACTGCCTCCTTGACTTACTGGATGATTCCAAAACACTTCCTATTCCCTGTATTAGAACAAAATTCTGTTTCTTGATTGTAAAGTAGCAGACATACTCACCAGCACATGGCAGGGCTCAGTCTACATGCTCTGACTAGTCCTCACCATGGGGGGTGAGTACTCATTAGAGAAGATGGAAGCTCAGAGAGGACACACATTCTGCCCAAATAGCATGCAATTGATAAGAGGCAGAGCGGGTCCTGTCTGTCTGTCTGTCCAGCCTTTCACCCATTATAGTCTCTCTGTCCGTCCTTTCAACCATTGTAGTCTGTCTATCCGTCCTTTCACCCATTGTACTCTGCCTCCTTTGACTCTACAAAGTTTAGAATGCAGAGTTGCAGGGGCTGGCTTTCTGAGGACAGCTATATACTTTATTCACTCTTTTAATCTATTGCTTTGTATCTTAGATACATTTTAGCTTATGTGTCTTAAGAACATGTGAATTTTTCTAGTTCTTATTTGGTCTTGATTAGCCAGGAATCTGTTCTTTTTAAAGTAGCCAGTTCCAATATATTAGATCAGATTTCTGGTAAGATTCCTAGATTATTTGTAAATTATCTGTACTTTATCTCCTTTTTAGGAAAATCCAAGAAAGTGCCAAAGTTATCCATATGATACTCATCATATTTCTTTTTAACTCTGTTGACCCCAGATAATAATTTAAGTGAAGATATGATTCAGGACATTTGATAATCATGTAGGTAGATGTTCAACTTGTTAAAGGAATATTTGCCTTACTGTTCTGACTTGGAGTCATATATAAACAGCCACAGGTATGAGATACAACTGCTCCCTGAGAAAGCCTGCTTCAACTCATACTTCTACTGAGGGCCTTGCTTTAAGGGACTTCCCCTGCTGGATAAACATCTGTGGCATCTGATATAGCAGGCCAATAACAACAGTCATAGGTTTTAGGTATGGAATCATGGTGGAGTATCCTTTAGCTTGTTTGTGGAGGCAAAGAAATGTAGCAGAGAATTTTAAGGCCTGAAAAAAGGGAGGCTTTCTGCCTCTAACTTACAATGAACATAAGAGAAGAGTCTTCCCTTTCTGTGAGACCAAGGTGTTGGATCAGTAGTGGGTATACAGCGAGGGACCCCTTCCCTGCACTCGGTCTTAGTACATTAAGAAGGATATATTTTCTGGAGAATAGATCTTGCACTTGTTCAAAATGCATTACTATTAAGGGTAGCCAGGATCCAAAACATGTCAAAGTTTTCAGTAAAAGTTAAATCAAGTAGCATAATTCTCTTTCTTTCTTTCTTTTTCTTTCTTTCTCTTCATTTTCTCTATTAAAATTGGCATTAACCTTTCCCTGCATTTCATCTACTACTGCCCAGTCTTTCTTGTAGTCACTGTCTTGTTTTGAACCATTGTTTTTGTTTTTAAATTATGCACACTGAATACAGTTTATCAGGTAACTTTTCCTTGCCAGCACTACAAAAGCAATAGCAGCGAACAGTCAGGTCATCAGTATTTGGAACTGATTGACTTTACTCTTGCTAGGTTGGAGCTGTTTTCTGTTCGAAGTAACCCATATCTGATTTTCAGCTAGGTTTACAGAGTGGATAAAGGTTTACCAGTCTAGTCCACTATTTTCCAAAGTAAGTGATACCTTCTAGTATTAGAAACTTTAAAAAGTATATTTCAAAGACCTAGTGAATCAGACAGCTTAAGGAACAATTTCAAACCTAAATTTTTTTTTCATTCATTAAAATAGGTTTTATTCTTCTCTTTTCCAAAACTACAAGCTTGGGATAGAATTTTTGTTTTTTGGGTTTTTTTTTTTTTGATGGTTTATTTATTTATTTTTGAAATTGTCCAAAACTTCTTGTAAAGAAACAAATGGTTAAAGTATATACATAAAAATATTAGCTATGGAAGAACAAAATTAAATAGCATCTTATTCCACATTAGAAAAAAAAAAAAAAAAAAAAGGACCAAGGGTATAAGAAACTAGCTTAATTAAGGGACTGAAAGAAAAGATCTGTTCTCTTTGAATTTTATACTTAGCAAACATACCTTTGAAAACTAAAAGTAAGATGTTCTAGTTATACAAACTTGAAATATTTTAATACCTCCAGAAGTAGCATATAGGAAATAACAAAGAGCCTAATTCAAAAGACAAGAGAAGTTGCAATATGCTCCTGGATGAACAATAAAGAGTCTCAATATGATAGTTATGCAGGACTATATAAAAGATATATTAGATGAACCCTTATTAAAAGGTCATTGCAGATTTCTATGAAACAGTACCAATCTTATGTTGGATTATACATGTATTTTTTTTTCTATATGTGTGCATGTGTGTATAAAAGACAGGGAAGAAGTAATATAAAGTCAACAGAAAATGGAAATATACTTTTTAAAGTTTCTAATACTAGAAGATATCATACAATGTCTTTTAAATAAATTGTAAATCAAAGATACAATATAAATCTTAGAACAAAAATTAAGATTAAGCAATATTTAGAAAATTAAATACTAATTAAAAGTTAAATGTTTCAAAACAATTGAACTAAGAAAAAGTTTTCATGATAGCAAAGAAGTACTAAAAGTAAAACATAAGATAAATACTGGAATGGCAAATAAATGACCAGCACTTCTAACAGTTTGAGGATAGGATAACACACAAAAGTTCTGGTGTGTTGTGGACATGCATAATGACCGTGACAGTTACTGGTGGCTAGGCGTC